CTCGATCCCAGGACCCTGGGATCATGACCTGAGCCGAAGGCAGACGCTTAGCGACTGAGCCACCCAGGCGCCCTGAATTACTCTTCATTCTAACAATTAGTACAAAGTCTGTAAAAAGGAGATTATGGGATTCTTTTATCTTCATTATATAGCTTCATTTTTCAAGATCAATTTCAGTCATGTCTACTCTTCCTCCATGACTCACTATGAAATGTTGGTCCTCCTTTTACAAGATCCACTTCATAAGACCTTGTTCTCTTTCTCAAATGATGTCCCCACTTGCACTCTGCCAAGTGACCTCCATTCGAAGCCAGGCCCAGTAAAGAAGAGAAAAACCCAAAAATCTTGGGGCAGGAAGGTGCTAGGAACATCAAAGATTGGTAGGTGCTATACAATCTAGACCTTCTAGAGCCTCTGTGTTGGCTGCAGAAAGAGCAATGGTAGGGGAGGAGGTTACATTCTGAAATTCCATTTCACAGCACTGGACCCCAGGACTGCTTATGGAAATCACCTGAACTCCTTCTGTAAGGAAGTATGTTCATTTTGCTGCCAACAAGTCTCAGAACAGGAGGCAAGGAGGCGGAGAGTCTTTTCCTAACTAGTTTTGAAAGCAGAAGGACGCAGCACAGGCTGGGGACACGGACGGACAGCAAGTTACTCTCACACCCAGACCAGCAGTTCTCACTTCCGCTGTGCATTAGAATCACCAGGGATTCCTTTAATTACACTGAATCACAGGGGAGTGTTTAATACAACCCTGATGTCCACGTCCCACCCTAGACCAATTAGATCTGAATCTCTGGAGGGTAGGGCCCAGGGGTGGGTGGGTGGGTGTGTGTTGGGAAAAAAACCTCCTCAGGTGATTCTAATATCAGCCAGTGCTGAGAACCACTCACCTAGAGATTGGTTGCTTTACCAAGATGATCTACCGTCTACCTGCCAGGTATAAACAGAGGGGTTATGCTAAGTGTCAACAAACCAGTCCGTAGGATTCCTCCAGAATGGTAATGAGAAAGTTCTTGACCATCCCCTAGAAACCCTCACTAACACCCTTGATCCCTGCCTCCAAAGGGCCACCCAAGCCAGGTGCTGGTCTTTCCAACCTGTGAGAGGTATTTATACAGCTGGGGGTCCCGCTCAAGTCCCAAGTAAGCAAGGAGCTCCTCTTCACCACCCTCCAGCAGCTGGTAGAAAATGTGGAAGTTCCTCTCGCCCTGGTTTTGATAGACGACTCGAGACTTTTCTATCAGGTAGCTGATGATATGCCCACCGACAGGAATGCCCTTGAGAACACAACAAAAAAATGCACAATGACAACAATAACTAAGCCATTCTCTTGCTGGTGTCTTCTGAGGAACAGAAATTCTGAATTCAAACAATGATTCTTCTAAGCCTAGTGTTTTCTGGGCTCATTTAAAAAATATTTTTGCCTACCCTGAGGTCATGAGTGATATTTTCTATACTTCTGTCTAGAAGTGTGATTATTTTACCATTCATGTTTGGGACTGGGATTGAAATTTTGTGTATGGAGTGAGGTAGAGCGTCAAAGGTTGTCTTATTCACATGGATTTCCAATTGATAGCACCATTTATTGGAAAGGCAATCCTATCCCTATTCAATTACAGTGGTGTCTTTGTCATAAGCCAAGTGACCATATCATACGGGGAAGTCTTTGTAGACTCCATTCTGGTCCACTGGCCGGTTTATACATCCTTGTGCCAGCAGCACACGGCTCTATTTTCTTTTAAAGATTTTATTTATTTATTTGAGAGAGAGAGAGAGCACAAGCAGGGGAAGCGGCAGACAGAGTGAGAAGGAGGCTCCCCATTGAGCAAGGAGCCCGATATGGGACTCGGTCCCAGGACCCTGGGATCATGACCTGAGCCAAAGGCAGACGTTTAACCAGGCATCCCAACATTTTCATTTTTTATGGTTATTCCAATTCTGGAACAGTCTATGAATTAGTGGCTATAGAAACCCAGAGAATTTCTGAGGATGGGAAAACCAATTCCAATAACACTAGAGATGCCTTAAACCAGACTCAGACCTTAAAGAAGAACAGAGGACCAGTAAGTAATGACAAACTCACCCATTCTTGTCCAAGACCTCAAACCCATAGATATCCAGCAATCCGATCACAGTTTTCTTGGTGAAATCCTAGTCAAGGTAACACACATTGCTTGTTGTTAGGTCATTTACTTAATGACTCTTAAGACCCAGTAGCTGCCTCCAAAGCTGGGACTTGCTTATACAGCTCACACCTTCTCTCCTTCCAACATTGGCTCACAGAGGAACGGTAGGATGGAAATGAATTTCCCAGTGCACTCCTCTGGCTTGAAGCCTCACAGCATCCCACTGCAGGTTCTGTGTCTACCCACCCGAGAAGTGAGACCTTCCTCTCCTGATTCATTCCCTTGCTTCTTCTCGGTCTCCCGAGGCCACATCAATCCCAAAGAAAGAGCGAGACCTCTACAGACAGCAGCAAAGGAGATGTTTATCCAGGAGACAGGACAGGTGGTTTGAATATCATTTTAAACAGAGGACTAAGTGCTGTCAGACAGGATGGATATTTAAAGAGATTAGGACTATTTTTTCTGAAAGGGCCACAATTTAACATCCTGTATGGTATCCTGAGCCTTCCAAATCTGTCCTTTACATACTACCTCCTTGAGTTTTACAATAATGTACTCTGTGCCCCAGCACCCTTTCCTTAATTTCTAGCTTTGAATAAACTCCCCCCTTATTACTTAAATAATTCCACTTAGGGTAAATTTGAAGGACTCATATTTTTTTCTTATACATGTTAAAACATACTACTGTTAAAGTAAAAAACTTCTGTGTACAACAAAAGCCATCTGGCATACTGCAAATACTGTGCATCCCACACTTTGAGGCACAATCATTTAACGGGCATTTTTGTGAGCCTACTGTGTGCTGGAAATGTAGACGCTGAAGGACACCAACCCTGCCCATCAGGAGCCAACGGCTAATGCTTACAAATTCTTTAGAGTGATGATGTCAGTTATAAAACATTACCACGTTACTGAGAGTGAGTCAACCAAAAATATGTGGACGAACCTTGTTCACTAAGGAGGAATTGATTTTGTTGACCAGCCATGTAAATGTTCGCCCGTAAACGGCCTTGGCCATTGCATCTCTAGCGTAGACAGAGAGTTCTAGTGTCAATGGGCATATTACCTGAGAACAACAACAAGTGCATCACTATAGTGGTTAAAAAAAAAAAAAAAGCCCACCCCCTCCTGAGTTTTCAAATTAGCCTTTAATGACGGTCAGTGAAGGATATGTGCTGGGGGGAAGACACCAACCCCACCTGCAAGCATCCAGGCAGGAGCTATTTCTTGAGTGCCTACTACGTGCCAGGCATGGAGCTGCTGAGATACAGCCGTGACCGAGACAAATAGTTCTAGCATCTGTGGGCTCACAGTTTGGGGATGGGACATTCACGATTCACACACAGTCATGCTGCGAGCTCAGAGCAATGTGAGGAGATACCTATGGTGCTTTAGGATAGGGGTGGGATGATCAGGAAGGCTCTTTGAGGACATGACCCCAGGAATTGAAGGATGAGAAGGTATTAATTAGAGAAGCACAGGGAACTGTGTTCAAACAGAGGGAACAGGATGTGCAAAGACCTCATGGAGGAAAGACATGGTGAAAGGGAGGCATGGAGAGTTTAGTGTAATTGTTGGGGATGGGGAGGCTGAGGCAGGAGACCCCTGCAGGAGCTGGAAGGCTGGGGTCTGGCCTCCTCCAGGACCACCATCCTGCTCTTCTATGAGGCAGGCAGCAGCTGTAGCAGGGAAGGCAGGTGCATTTCCACCTAGAGCCTTTTTTACCTCCTCAGTTTTGGCTTCAATCTTTCTGTGAGTGAGAGCTTCCAGAAGGATGGACGGGTGCACCCCCAAGAGCTGTCAAAATGGAAACCAAAATGCCATTCAGTGACTGGATTGGATTTTTTGCCAATTTACAAAGAACTGGTGCAATTTCCAGACCCAGGATTATATGCCCTGACTGATAATCTTGCTTAAATGCAAAACAGATCACATTCGATCTTTTGACAAGCTGGCTTTTGCCCACTCCCTCACCTGTCCCCACGCTCTTTAATTCTCCTAGGCAGTATCAGCCGGATGGACCCGTTGTTAGCCACTTGGGACCTGGGCATCCAGCTGCCTCGAGCTCCCCTCTCCTGCCCTTCCACCTCCAAAAAGGGCCGGGCCTTTCCTGTGCTCTTCAAAAGTGGAACATCACCTTGGCGATCCATTTGATCTCATGGGTGTCTGGTATGGTGGCAGAGCCTTGGTGGTTCTCTTCAAAACCAATGTTCCCCAGGTGCAGGACGCTGGCGATAATCCCGAAGAGATTCTAGGAACGTGGGAAAGGGCGAGGAGAACAGGGAGAGAAGGGCAGCCACCTAACTGATGAATGTCATCACAGGACAGGTGTCAAGGGAAGAGGGATAAAGAGCCTCAGCACAGGGTGGGGAAGATGCCTCTCCCCAATCTCTGACACAGGACACTTCTATTTTTATATCTTCCCCACCCCTCCCCACCAATAAACCATTTTATATGCAAATGCCATGATCCCAGATATATACAGATTATATATATATATATAATATTTTAAATTCCGGCTCTTGAAAGAATAGTTTTAACCATCAGAAAAAAGGGGGTATAAAAACACAATGTTTATAAAGCCACAATTTGCTCCACTTTGTTCAAAAATAGAAGTGTAAATAAATGATAATCCTGCAGTTCTAGAACATCTAAATATTTGAGATTGAATTTGAGAGAAGGACGAAACATGACCTCCTCCTTGCATACAGCACTGGGAAATCTTTTGTCTGCCAGATGAAATGCAGAACGCACAGTTAACATTTGAATTTCAGATAAGCAATGACTAATTTTGGTCCCAAATGGTAACCCCAAATAATGGTGACCATTAAAATGTAGCTAGGTGTGCTGTGTTTTTATTGGCTGAATCTGGCAACCCTACTAGGTGGCCACCAAGATACCAGGATTATTTTGTCAATCCCAGACCCGACTGACCAGCAGTTCCGCCCTTGGGGCTCATACCTCGAGGTCATCTTCAGTAAAATCGATGACAGAAAAGGCACTGGAAACAGTTTTCCAGTTGTTCTTGTCGTTGATAGACGACTCTTTGGCACAATGACCCTGTTGACACAGAATTGGGTTGCCTAATGTCATTTTTATAAGGGCAGTGAGGCATGCCCACACCTAGTCTTGAATTGAAATGGTTTTCTCTACCAGCACGCAAGAGCTGGTTCTATAATGTTCTGGATTGTAAAAAGGTAGGTTCAACTAATCGTCTAGGGAAGGATGATTTGCTAACTGCTGCTTTTTTCAAATTTATTTAGAATTTTATCTCTATCCGGGGAAAACTTTCAAAGGTACACATTTCAAATGTACACATTAGTATATCTCTTTGAATGCATTTTTAAAAATAGTTTTTCTTGTCCTATTTGCCAAATAAATTGAAGATGTTTGACTCAAGAAACATCTGCTAAAATAAGCAGGGAGAGGACAGCACTGAAATTCAGAAAGCATCTTGATGCACTTACAACCTCCAGCAGAAACTGCAGCGCAGGACTAGGTAAAAGGAGACCCTCACTCAAGAAAATAAAAGTTTGGCATTTAGAGAAAGGCGGGTTATATGGATACTGATCACCAGCAGAGAAGTGATGAGACTTCCCACTACTTTAGAAGTTGTCTTTTAGGTAAGACACACACCACCAAATGTCACAATTTAAAGGGAAGATGTTCTAGATGAGGGTTTTGTGGGGGTTTTTTTAAAGATTTTATTTATTTATTTGAGAGAGAGACTGAGAGAGAGAAAGAGCACAAGAGGGGGGAGCGGGAGAGGGAGAAGCAGACTCCCCGCCGAGCAGGGAGCCCGATGCGGGACTCGATCCCGGGACTCCAGGATCATGACCTGAGCCGAAGGCAGTCGCTTAACCAACTGAGCCACCCAGGCGCCCCTGTTTTGTGGTTTTTTAATTGTTTTGCTTTTGTAGTACAAGGTGTTTCCTGGATTCCTGGGCATCTGAAGATTTATCATCTTCAAAGATTTTGCATGGGGAAACCAGAGGTGCCATAGCATGAAAATATTCACCAGTGAACTGGCCGCTGTTAAATCTGCATCCTCCCAAATATCCCTTCCCATTCAACTAGCAGATGTGCCCCCGCCCCTAAGGGTGGGGCCAGCTTAGGTCAGTCCTTGGAGGACACCTAGAGGTTTAGAAGCAGTGTGGATATACTACCAAATAAAGCCACAAAGTTTGTCAAAGTTACGGGAGAACACAAAACTGAACAAAATAATACTGGCGAGTTGCTTGAACTATTCCCAAAGCCACTGTGGCATGAGGATCTGTCCAAATTAAACAGACTAGGAAAAAAATCTGCAAGGATAAAGACGAGATACATTCCAAAAGGGAATGATTTGAATATCAAAGGGTTGGGAGAAGCCCTTGGGAAAAAGAATGAAGCCCACAAATACTTTTTATAAATTGACCCTCTCTGATCATGTTATAAAAAGTCAAATGTGGGGCGCCTGGGTGGCTCAGTCGCTAAGCGTCTGCCTTCGGCTCAGGTCATGATCCCAGGGTCCTGGGTTCGAGTCCCACATCGGGCTCCCTGCTCGGCAGGAGGCCTGCTTCTCCCTCTCCCACTCCCCCTGCTTGTGTTCCTGCTCTCGCTGTCTCTCTCTG